TGGAGGCCAGAGCTTGATGTGTGTCATTCAAGGCTGTAGCCCCAGCACCGGGTGGATACAAGGAAAGCATCCCTTGCCATTTTTGGAGGGAACACCAGTCCCCACCCTTTCAATCTTCCCCTGACATCTACATTTCAAAGAAGACATTCAGCAAAGATGTTCTCTTTCAATTTAAACCACTCCAAGGCCCAGTATACAAAAAATAAAAAACATTTTTGGATAAACGAGATCTAAACAATGCTATGAAATTCTAACTGGAGGCTCTTGTTTGCAGGTGAGTCAGAGCCTGAGGTCTCTGGAGGTGTCAAAGATCTACCAGAACCAAATCAAATCCTTCTTCTTGACCTGATCAGAAGAACTGATAAACAAATGGAAAAGCAGTTACTTCCTTATCACATGATTTGATTTTACTCAATGTCATGTCTTGATAAAAAGGAACATAATGTCTGTTATCAGCAGAGCTGAGAGTGCAGTCTTTAGAAAAACACCTCCGCGTGACAAGAAAAGTCTTCTGCTCTGTTTCCTAGGAGGTGGACAAATGTATCTGGGTTTTTGCATTCACAAAGTATTTCTTTCCCGCATTCCCAGGCCTTCCTGAGATTGCCTGCCTCAAACACACAATTTCAATTACTTCTGCCTCAGCACCTCCATTAGTTTCCCACAGAAGCAGAAACAATGGATTACAAATGCAGGCAATAGTCTTTGAAATAAACATATAGCTTGAAACCTTGTGATAATATATTTTGCCAGCTTTCCGCGTTAAAAATCCAGGAAAGGAGGAAAACTGAATTGAGAGGACATATAGTCAGCTTGAAAATACCCTACGTGTAGCACACAGATTGGTAAAATGAGGGACGAACAGAGGACACACAGATGCACGCCCACACACACCATTTTTTCCAATTATAAAGTATCTTTAACTCATGAAAAAAGCATTCTTATATTACACACCCGACCCAAAATGATCATGCTGGGCAGGGCCCTGGTTGTAAGTGAAAAAAGAGACAGCACTGGCTAAGGAGGTGAGAGAGGATTTGGAACCTCCATCACTCGATTTGGACAATATAGAGCAGCATTTCCAAAGGATGCTAATAGGTATGAGGTGAAATAAGTTTGGGAAACTCATGAATATAAACAAAGCTAAATAGGTCTATCTACTGTTGGAAAGCTTCAAAGGTTTTTAAATGCCCATGAACATTGAATTATTCAGATATAATGTCTTGCATTTTCCAAACTGAATCATGGTACCATTTTCCCTGCCTTTCCTTTAATTGGAGTCATCTATACATTGGAGTTCAAAAAACCTACACTCTGGACAAAGTGGGTTATGCATTGTGCTCCTCGATTTGTGACTGTAGTTAGTATAAAAAGAAGACAAAAGTCAAATTCCTTGTAGATACATGATGGATAAGATGTGGGTTTCCAGTTGCTGACTGAAAATACGTACTAGCAGCAACAATAGAATTCACGAGCAATACATAAAGCATGTTTGAATTGAATTTTGATTTTAGAATGTATAAATAAAGTATAAGGATGAGCTGGCTGTAAGAATAGTCAAAGACAAGATTCAAGGATGAACAGGGCAGAAAAAGAGCTAAGCTTGTCAGATAATGAAGTGGAGTTATTAGGACAGATGAAAGATAACCCTCAAAAGGATACTTTTTGGGGTAATCAAAATCAAGAAGCAGACATGATAACTGGAGATTGGTAATGTAAAAAATTATAGGTAGACGCAGAGAAGAAAGGAGGAGAAATACAAGTTTCAAAGAAAAAAAAAATGAGAGGATTCTGAATAAATCCAAACCAGGGAGGGAGGAAGAAAAGGCACTTGCATCAGCTAGTCCCAGATGAGACCAGAGGCAGAAAAAAAACCTTCCAGAACTGAACTATGTAACTTTGTGAACTATGACAAAGAAAAAGGCAAAGAAGATAAGTGGGAAAAGAATTGTGGATTTAGAAGGAAGATGATATAAGTTGTAAAGAGAATTGATACAGGAAGGATAAAAGAAGAGGGGCGCCTGGGGGGCTCAGTCGGTTCAGCATCCGACTTCAGCTCAGGGCATGATCTCATGGTTTGTGGGTTCGAGCCCAGTGTTGGGCTCTCTGCTGACAGCACAGAGCCTGCTTTGGACCCTCTGTCTCCTTCTCTCTCTGCCCCTCTCCTGCTCGCATGTGCTCTCATTCTTTCTCACTCTCTCTCAAAAATTAAAAAAAATTTTTTTAAAAGTTTCAAAAAAGAGACAGCAAGAAACATAAGCATCACTAGATTTCAAACTCTGCGTATATCTCTTTGGGATGCTGTAGAATTGGCAAATACGAGGTTCTTAGACCTTCCCTCTTCTATGGCAGGCACGCACTATTTTCCTCTGAATACAGATCTGGCCTCAGAACCCTTATTAACACAACAGCAGAGCTAGCCACTGCTGACTGATTTCACTTGACCCTGGACATGAAATCTGCATTCTTACTGTATTTAAAAACAAACAAGCAAACAAGCAAATCCTTTGTGAGGGTTTAGTAATACTCATTCACTGATGAAAGAGAAATGAAAATAGTATACTTCTGGCTAGGAAAGCAAACCGTGTCAGTGTGAGATGTTTATTAACAGGGATATAATAATGCATTTGTGTGGATAGGAGTAAATATGTATGTGAAATATGAGTATTTCAAGTACATGGACAAGTACTCCATATTTCTGTTTTGAACATTCATCAACACATGAACATCAGCTCATCGTTTACCCTGGCAGCTGAAACCTTTAAACTCAATAAAAGGATATAAATTACATTTTAAGCTACAACAGCTCCCATGAAACAACAGACTGTTGGCATCATCAGAACTTTTCCTTCCTCCTCTATCTTATGACACCATATTGAGCCCAACATCTAAAAAGTTGGCAGAAACGCCAAATAGGTTTTTAAAAGCACGCATAAATAGTGCAGCGTAACATAATAGCATTGTTGACAATGATCAGGCCACGGTGACAGGTGTGGGACAAACTGGGATTTGTATCAAAGGTAGGCAGTAAAAAAGAAGCTGCGCTCATTTTCCGTTGAAAACTAAGTTTAAAAACAGGGAGGCAGGGTAGTGTGTGACAAGTTGTGTTAGTTTGCATTTCTTCTTGCTTACATTCATTAATTTCGCCCAGTTTATGAGCACCCGAGGCTTTTGCCTATTCATGCAAGGGAAACCTTGAAGGCATACAGTGCCTCAGAGTTTCTCTCCTCTGGGAAACCTGCAGTGCTTTCTTTGAACTATTTTGTTTGAACATCCTGGTAAGTTATTCATGTTCTGCTAAGCAGTTCATGATGCTTTGCAGGAGGAGAGGCAGGGCATCGCTGTCAGGGTTTATCCTTTTCATGACTTCTATGAATTAACAATAATAACAAAAGAAAGCTCATTAGTCTGGTTGGCTTAATTGAGATAGAAAAGGAAGGGAAAGAGGCAGTGGGGAGGGAGGGGAAAAAGCAGTGACCTCTCAAGAACTGTTGAAGCCTGGGGTGCCTGGGCGGCCCATTCGGTTAGGTGCCCGCCTTCGGCTCAGGTCACGATTGTGCGGTTTGTGGGTTCGAGCTCCGCACCGGGCTGTGTGCCGACAGCTCGGAGCATGGAGCCTGCTTCGGATTCTGTGTCTCCCTCTCTCTCTGCCCCTCCTCCTTGTGCTCTGTGTCTCTCTCAAAAATAAACAAACATGAAAAATTTTTAAAAAATTGTTCAGGCCTGAGAGTCTACTGACCTGCATGAATTGATCATCATCCCTCTTGTGAATGACTGCCACAGAATCCTAGCTGGTTTCCTGCATCCCTCTACTGCAGCCACGGCGATCTTTTTAATACATGTATCTAATCACCTATTCCGATACTTCCCTCTCCATGACCTAGCAAGACCCTTCACTGTGTGGTCCCTTCCTGCCTCACTGGCAGCTTACGGCATACCTTGTTCTCTGAACTCTAGCCCCACCGGCCTTCTTCCAATTCTGCTATCCTACAGGGCCTTTGCTGACCACAGGGCCTTTACACAAGTTGACTCTGCCTGGAATGCTCTTTCCACTCCCACCTGCTTTGCTCAACTTTTGTAATACTAGCCCAAATGTCTTGTAACTCCTAAAGAAGGCCAACTCTGACTCTGTCCCCACAAAAGGATTCAAGTTTCCTGCTACCACCTCTCAAAGCACTCTTTCTTTTTCAGCATTTATAACTATTTGTAATTATATGTAAATGTGATTATATCTCTGATCCTCCCACTCAACATTAAGTATAAGCTCTGTAGAACTACAGCAATGACCACCTTCCCCACCACTGGGCAACTCTACCTTGCACTTACACAGTGAACATTTGACAATATGTACTGACTGAATGGATTAATGTATCTAATATAACACACCGCTTCACTGATATAGTTAAAACTGTGGCACATAAGAGAAAGCTTTTGAAAAAACTGCTTATACCATAAACCAAATATTATTCAGTAAATCTAACAAAACAAATTTTATATCAAACTCTCTGGCATAGTGTATCAAAGGATTGAAGGTGTGACTTAATTCTCTAAGGTTAATACATAAAGGCTCTAGAAAGGGGATTATTTCTTTAATTTTTTTCTGTTCTCATCTCTGAAGGAACAGGAATCTTTATAAACATTTTTTTTTTTTTTATTAGACAGAAAGAGAGAGCATGAGTGGGGGAGAGGGCATTGGGAGAAAGAGAGAGAATCCAGGGCATGGAGCCTGACACAGGGCTCATCCCCAAACCCTAGGATCATGACCTGAGCCGAAATCAAGAGTCAGACATTTGAATGAGCCACACAGCCACCCCAGGAACTGGAATCTTTACAGTGGCTGCTGAATAAGAATGCAATTAGGTCATCTTGTTTGGAAAATAATCAGGGCACATGCCTTCTAGAACCTTCTGGGGAAACCAGACCTTTAATTTGGGAGTTGGACAAAATGGCATCAATAAGAACAACCTTCTTCTGGAAGATGAGCGTGGAGAAAGAGGACTTACGTTGGTTTAGAAGCCTCAGCCTGGTCAGTCTGTAGTTTCTCTCCTCCTTCTACCTCCATGGTACAATATACAATGCGATTGGGAGCCAAGGATTTGAGGCCTTGGACTTCCATGATCACCACCTAGAAAGAGAACCACACACGGTGGGGGTTATCCCAAGGTTATAGCCAAAGCCACTGCCCAGAAGAAAATACAGAGATGTGAGGAAGTTACCAAAATACCTAACAGGTATCTGGTAGCTTCTATCAGTTTTTTATCAGCCAGGCTGGTCCCAGTCTTGCATTGAAGATGCAATTCTTCATCGTGTGACTTACTACCCCGGATAGAAAGACAACCTTCACTATTTCAGATGTTCACAGGGGTCAGACAGGGAATGGGAAATGGGCTGCTTTTTTTCCTAGGTTAAATGCATGATCATCGTTTCATTTCTACAAAGAAACAGGTTCTCTCTGATTTCTTTCAAAATAGTCTAGCTTTTAATTCGGCACTTATCAGAGACAAAGGCCCAGAAATTCACTTTTCTCTTTACAATGAGATAAGTGCTAACACAAGTGCTAAGAGCAAAGGCCACTGAGCATTAGAGTCAGAGATGCAACAGGGAGTAGCGGGGTCTGTGGCAAAATAGGGACACACGCTCCCTGTACACGGACCAGGGGGGACCCCGGCGCAGCCCACTGCTGCCTTGTCAGTCCTTTGTCCGGAGTGGCCAGATACAGCAATTTTTCCTTCTGGAACATGGAAATCTGGATCAGAATTAAAGTCAGAAATCTGATTTTGAAATTTTGACAATAATCCCAATAGGGAGGAATAAAATACACAAACTCTGTGCAGGCCAACAATGTTGAATCAAAACAAAAACGTGTCTGCAGCTTCATACCCTCTGTTCTAGACTGAGGAGGAAAGCTGGTGTTTTGCTGGACCAAGATGTACCATTTCCAATCCCTGGCACTTCCCACTACAACCCTTACACTCCATTCGATTGCCTGCGATTCTTATAGCAGAGAATGGCTGCTATGGAATGTTCAGTGGGATGCCCTGTCATTTATCAGAGGGGAGAATAGGGCAGATACACCGATTTAGAAACCTGAAACAAATGACCTACATCAAGGATCTACAGTAAGCCAGCTGTATAAAAATATCACCCAATTGTACTTCAAAAGAAGTGCTGGGATTACACAAGGAGAAGGGTATGGTTGTGCAAAAAAAAAAAAAAAAAGTATGTTTCACTAATGGGCTTGATTAATAGAGTTGGCTTTGAGCCAGGATTTGCAAGTCAGTTTTGCTGCTTAACAGTCCCGTGGTTCTCAAACTTAGTGTGAATCAGAAATATCTGGAAGGCTTCTGAACCCAGAAACTGCTGGGCTCCACCCCCAGAGTTTCTTTTCTTTCTTTCCTTTTTTTAAGTTTATTTATTTATTTTGAGAGACAGAGACAGCGTGAGTGGTGACCGAGAGAGAGGGAGACAGAGTCAGAATCCCAAGCAGGCTCCATGCTGTCAGCTAAAGCCCAACGAGGGGCTGGATCCCACATATCCCGAGATTATGACCTGAGCCGAAATCAAGAGTCCAACGCTCAAATGACTGAGCCACGCAGGCACCCCCAGCCTCAGAGTTTCTACTAAGCAGGTCTGGGGTGGAGCCCAAGACTTTTTATGTCTAATTATATCCCCGGTGATGCTGATGCTGATACTGATGATGTGGAAGCCATCCTTTGAGAACCACTGTATTACTCATGGGATAATGGGCAAATGACTTGACCTTGAAGTCACTCCACTTTTCTTCCAAATCTCCTGAGGCCCAGTGTCCTCATCTGTAAAGTGTGGACCATAACATATATCCTCTATCTGTCTGTGGCTGTTCTCTGAGGACCAAATAAGATGATGTATGTGAGAGAAAATTCTCACACTGGTAAGAACCATACAAATGAAAAGAAATGGGAGGCACAGTGGAAAGAACACAGTTTTTGTAATTTAAGAGATCCCCCTTGAAATCCTGAATCCACATCTTCACCAGCTGTATAATCATTTGCAAGTTTCTTAACCTCTCTGACGCTTTGTTTTCACATATGCAAATGGCTCAAAAGACTGTTGTGAAGATTCAGTGAGTTAATGGTGGCAGAGCAGACATAGTGGCGCTCTACACATGTCCCTTGTTTGTCATCAGGCTACTCCCCTGGCACAAGTTCAGGCCAGTCAGTCGTCCTGGACCTCAGGTCTCTTGCTGCGGTTAACTGCTCTATAGTGTCCCTTCCAGCCATGCAATTCTGTCACTATCTAAAACAGGTCTACCGACCTGCAAATTCAAACACAATCTGTTCTGAAAAGATGACAGTTCTGTCTCCCCCAGACAGTGTCACCCAAGACACAGTCACAAACAGATGCACAATGATTTTTGCTGGCAGTTTTAGTATAGGTGTAATTTAGCATTCCAAGGAAAAAGTATTTGGGGACCCTAGGGCATTTTATTCTGTACTTGTGCTTACACGTTAAAGCCTGTTTGAATCATGTATACATGGAAGTCGGGCTGGGGACTCACTCACAGCTAGATTTCAGATAATCAGCTGTGTAATACTGAATACTGATAAAGAATTAGAAAATGACGGATTTAAAAGCTTCATGAAAATCAATAAACCACTTTTTCCCCACTTTCTGTAGAAAGACAAGTGGCAGTGGGGAATAAATTGCCACCTCTAATTGGCAATAATCAAATTCAAAGACACCTAAGAAAAAGCATTCAGTACCTCAGGTGGCGGTATTAAAAAAGAAAGAAAGAAAGGAAGTTTCTGTGAAATTACACTGATGACTTTTTCACACACCAAGTGCCCTATATTTAACTGAATACTGATTCTTCCAACTGCAAAATAAATGTTGACGACACTGTAATAGGACTATCTTGATCTGAACTGAGCCCAGTAAAACAAATTACCTGCAGTTAATTCACAGCAAGCCTTAATGATGTTCTAGAAAATTAATTTAGTCTTTACAAATTCTAATTAAATATACAGAAATTTGATCTATTCTCTTGGTCGCCCCAAATCTAGGGCCATTATAAAATCCTTGTGGGGTTCTGAGCTTTAATAAGTTATAAATGATTCTCAAGCTTGGGAGCTCATAAGACGCACCTGCGTGGCTTATTAAAATGCATATTTCAGGGACTCCTAGGTGGCTCTTTCGTTTAAAACTCCAGTTTCGGCTCAGGTCATGATCTCATGTTCGTGAGTTGGAGCCCCGCGTCGGGCTATGTGCTGACAGCTCAGAGCCTGGAGCCTGCTTCGGATTCTGTGTCTCCTTGTCTCTCTGCCCCTCCCCCTCTCATGCTCTGTCTCAGAAATAAATAAAATATTTAAAAAATTAAAAATAAATAAATAAAATGCATATTTCATGGTGCGCTCCACCCAGAGATTCTTTATCTTTCTTTTTTTTTTTTTTTACCAACACCATTGAGGCATATTTTACATACCATATAATTAACTCATTTCAAGTGTGCAATGCAGTGATTTTAGTAAATTAACTAAGTTGCATGACTATCATCATCAATGAGTTTTAGAACATTTTTATCTCCCCCTGTAATGACCCTCATGTCCATTTCCACCCCATGCCCCAGGAACCTAATCTAATTTCTGTTTCTGGAGACTTGCCTCTTTTAGACATTTTGTATCAATGGAATCAAACAACACATGGTCTCTTGTGCTTGGCTTCTTTCACTAAGCAGAATATTTTTTACTTTCATCTAAATCAAAGCATGTATCTGTAGTTTGTTCCTTTCAATTGCTCAGTAGTAACCCCTTGTACAGGGGGGGAAGGGTGGTGGTGGTATGTTTTGTGTATCCATTTTCAAGGGGATACACAGTGAGGTTGTTTCCATTTTTGGCTATTAAGGACAGTGCTGCTATAAACATAGAATGGGATTGAGATTTTACGGGGACATGTGTTTGCATTTCTCTCTGGTAGATAGCTAAGAGTAGAGTGGCACTCTACACATGGTAGTTTTATGTTTAACTTTTTGTGAAACCCCCAAATGATTTTCCAAGGTGATTGCAATGTGTTCTATCCCCATCCCCACCCCCCCCCCCCACCGAGATTTGGATCATTAGGTCTGGTCAGTGCCAGGAATCTGCATACAGAACCAGCTTTCTGGCCATTTCCAACATAGCCAGATCAGATCCACTCCCTAAATTATACGTACGAAAAACCAACATGTGAGTAGAAGTTATAAAGAAAGGTATTGACACGTGGAACATTCTGCCACCGTCCCAGTCTGAACGGGTTCTTTCTCTGGCTGCTGAAATAAACTAAAAAGTCTCCCCAGAAACAAGACGCTCTCCTATTGTGTACCCAACAGGCCAGACAACAAGACAGAAAACCTACAACTCACCAAACGATGCCAGATTTGCTATGATGCTAGATGCTTCTCTCCTAACTGCGACACAGGATGCCAACATTCTAAACTTTCTACATTGCGTAAGGGCTTTACAAAATCCTTGAGCAGTGCTTTAAGATGGAAAATAATGCAAGATTAAATTTAGTAGCTGGTTCTTAAGACTGCATTTCCTTAAGAAAAGCATCGGCTCCTGGAGATGGGGAATCACTCGCTGATTAGCTGACCTATGCTTAGCAAGCTGTCATTTTAATAACTGCTCCTGGGATGCAGGGAGGAAAGCAAGCTGATTGTGGTGCATCTAATCACCCACGTCCTGCCGATTGTGCCAGGAAACTTTCAAGGGTTGAGGGCTTTTTACCTCCAGGGAGAAAGACAGCACGACATCTGACTTGGAGAGCTGGTTCTCACTCTCCTCACCCATGTCGATGATGGAAGCGTTATGGCTGCGTTTGAGTTTCTGAAGTTTGAACTCTCCGCCTTTGGACACCGGCATGCTCTCCAAATTGGCCATGAGCAGGTTGACAGATGACTTCAGCTCCTCAATGTACATGTTTTCCATCTCTTTGGATACAAATTTGGGAAATTTGCGCTCCTTGTAAAGGAAAAGAAAAGTATGAGCAGAGGAGTAACTAGGGACCTGATTTACATAGAAGGTTTACAGCTTACAGTCCAGAGTTATAATAACAACTACCACTGGTGACATTTTGCCCCGCTATTGTGCCACTGTGCTAGAAAAGGGTTCAGCCTGGTTGAGTAGACAGCTGCCTGCCTTCGAGTTATTTACAATCTTGAACAGGTAAGAAATACATACATAAACATATAGTAAGAAAGAGTCAAATGTTTTATGATAGTTCAATTTCCCCCCGCTCTCCACCGTCTTCTCCAGCAAATTTGATTTGTGGAAAGAAAAATGGGGTGATATTTTTAAAGTCTGGTTTCAGCTAAAGCCATGTTTCTTTTTAGCAAAGTGCAATCCGTTGTTTTTAAGTTTGGAGACAGAAAGACACCCTATTTCTGGATACGTAGAGAGATTTTCTCACATGAATAATTCAAAAGGAGCTCATTTGAGACATTTCAAACATAGCCTGTAGCTATTTCTAAATGGAATAGTAGAAAGAATAGTTACTGTTTTCAAGAAAAATGGAAAAACTTAATGAAGTGATGAAAAACATGATTAAAATTCTTTAGAAAAGAAGATAAAGCAATTCCATATCAGAACTGACCTCTGTTTTTTTCCTTCCTTGCTTATGAATTCAGTTGTAACAGCAACCTAGTTAGCCCTGCTCTTTATTTCCTCATTACCTCTAAGCTGTCCAGGTGCCTTGAATATACTTTGGATCAATCACCTTCTCAAAGAATTATTTCCCACTTGAAACACAGACTTGCTCTGCTTAGCCTTGGTGTATACTGATCAGGTGAGGGGCAAGCCACATCACTCTGACTGTTTTTGCAAGTGACAGAAAAGTCCAAGTAGGAAGTGGCTTAAATGGTGAAGGGAATTGATTGGCTTCAAATGTCCTTGGGTAGACCAGCTTCTAGCAAGGCTGGAGTCAGGGCTCAGATAATATCACAATGACTGTTATTCTTCCAAATCTTGGTTTGGGTTCCTCTGGGTTGCCCCATTCTCAGTCTGCCTCCCCTTAATGGCACAGAAAGGTTGCAAAAGCCCATCACCTCATGCTACTTAAAGGAAGACTGAGTGTCTCCTCTTGTAATGTCTTTTATTCAGAAATCCTCAGAGTATGACTTACGCACAGACCACGAACAACCTTTTATGATTGGTGATATGTTGTGTTGAGTTGCTTAGGCATGAATTATTTTCTCCGTCCCTGGGGCTGAGGGTAGAATTCCATGTGGATCACATGGGGTATGAACTGATTTGCCAATTAGGGGTGGCAAAAAAATAAGATGTTTCGGATGTGGGCAACAGACCCAAATCAACCAACTAACTCAGTTAAGTAGCCAACAATCAACCAGATTTACTCTCTCAAGCAATTGAATTGAGAGATATTGGAATTGCAGTTAGCAGTGGAACTGAAACAGCAAGATCATGTAGACCCATGGGTGGCTGCCATATTGGAACAGATGAAAGAAGAAGACACTTGTCAAAGAAGAGAGAGAAAGGTGGAGAGAGGGATGGAGATAGAGACTAACAGATGGAGGAAAGAAAAGAGGGAAGGCAGGAGGAAGAGAAGAGGAGAAAAGAAGCTAGATTCTTTAGAATCATAGAAAGGAGCTCTGCCTTTTATTGGCTTTTAAATTCTCATAAAGCCCACTGTCTCGTCTGTTGGTTCCTTTGAGATTCTTTTATTTTCCTTACAATAATTCCCCCCTCCGCACATATACTACTTAGCTATAAGGGTATTTCTTTTTTTTTTTCCAAGTTTGTTTGTTTTTACAAATAGTTTATTGTCAAGTTGGTTTCCATATAAAACCCAGTGCTCATCCCCACAAGTGCCCTCCTCCAAGCCCATCTCCCCCCTCCCCTCCACACCCATCAGTCTTCAGTTTGTTCTCAGCATTCAAGAGTCTCTCATGGTTTGCCTCTCTCCCTTTACCCCACCATTTCCCCCCTTCTTCTCCCCCATGGTCCTCTGTTAAGTTCCTCCTAATCCTCCTATATGTGCAAACATATGGTATTTGTCCTTTTCTGCCTGACTTATTTCGCTCAGCATAACAAGGGGTATTTCTTTCTTGATACCATGGAAGTTTCACTAAAATTCACATAGTAAATCCTCTGTATAGAGCTTGGAGATGCCCTTGTGCTATGTCAGTCTTCTTCCTATCTAGAGGAACTGTTCCTCTTACCCCCTTGCCTCCCTAGATAATTCTCAGCCATCTTGTCATCTTCTATATTTCCACCTCAAAATTTATTTCCCTAGGTTGACTCCCCTTATTCTACTTTCTTTTAGTACCTAGCTTAACTTCCTGGTCACATTTACTATAATTATAATTAATGGAAAATGGTGAAGTTTGTTTATCTTTCCTGCTGGGCCATGGCATCTATCTTGATACCCTTGGTGAATTCTTATTCTCTAAAATAACCTTTGGCACATAGCAAATGTTCAATACATATGAGTTGAGTGAATGAATGGACAGCTTGTCAAAATGTCCATATTAAATATCAACACAGCTAAAACTCAGTCATGAGGTGGAGCTGGAGAGGTGATGATATAGTTCTGGAAGAACATGGAGATTCTGCTTTTCCATGTAAATGAGCATGTAGGTCTGAAGTCCACTCCGCAACCTTTGAGTACTGGTTACTTCTGGAGCCTCTTACTATCATCCCTTCCTGCTTTATGGTTGGGCTCAGCCCACCATGTGGTGCTTTCTAAACACACTGAGGAGCAGCAGGATGGATGCCTCTGAAATGAGATGATAGGTTGATGACCTCAACAACAGGCTTATCAGGAGCCTAATGATTCAAGATAAGAATCTCACCTTAGTAGGTAAGTGTTGGGGGGGGGAGGGAATCATGATATAAGTATGTGGACTCTACCCATGAAGCTTACAACCAGTGGGGAAAAAGATCTATTGAAGAAACAGTAAGGTAGATGCTCTCTCAGCAGTGTATGAGACATGAACTCTTGCTCAGAAAATCGGGAGTGGCCATCCAGAGGAGGTGACCCTTGGGCTGTGAGTCTGATGGGTGAGGAATAGTTTGACACAAGGTTGAGTTGGCTGAGACAGGATCATGGTTCATTTCTTCTTTTCATGGAAAATCTATAAGCAACCATCACTCTAAGAAGATCTGTATAATTGTACATAGCCACAAATCTTTGCTCATCTCCTTTTAAACGTGGCCCTTATTGAGAGCAAAGAAGGAAAGTTAATTCATGGTCAAAGAGTGGTCCCCAAGGCCGTGTGAGAAGATACCAAGCAGTAAAGGTTACATATCAGCAGCCTAAAGTGTGTTACACTGATCTCTTTCTCATGTTGGGGGACAAATATTCTAACTACATGGGATTCTTGGGAAGCTGGGTAAGTGGTATCTCTAAGTTTTTATTGGCAACTGCTGGTCTTGTAGTTGCCATGGAGATGAAGAGAAGAACTGTTGTGTCTGTGAAGTGGGCTCTTTCCTGCCATCAGCCTCGAGAGACCTTATCATCAAGTGCAATCCCTTTTATCACACCCACCTTTGGGACTCACTCAAGGCCTCTTTAACTCCACAGTCTTGACACTGTGCAAGAAGATCCCGTGGTTACAGAGAATACCACTTTGGTTCAGATTTAGACTACAACAAACTTTAGGCAGCAGAGTTTTGGGAAGTCCAAGGAATGATCACTCCTCTCAGAACCCAGACAGTTTCTAATGACATCATAAAAAGAGGCTCATAAAACTGAAGTCAGCAAGGGAGAACAAGGTCATTTTTCTGCCTTGTGTACTAAAGCCTTGAGAAGAAATAGCATCCTGTCAATCTGGGCTGAGGTTCTTGACGGAAGTGTTCAGCAGCAGACCCATTACAAACACATTCAAAGCTGAAGTTGTGCCAAAATATGGAAAACATAGTCGTCCATCTCGATTGTTACTTTCCCAAGCATAAAAGTAAATTAGCTTTGACCAAAGCATTGTTTATTCATATTGCTTTATGAAAGACATAGCATATGGGTGGACAAAGTCTTCCAAATAAAATTTCTGCTGTCCATTTATTTTGTTTTGGGCTGATAACATTCCTCAATGGGGATGGCCTCCCAAGGACAATTCCGAACAGGGTTATTTATGCTTGCTCACTTCGAGTGATTTTTGTAACCTCTCGATAAATAGAATTTGAAAGTGCTAACACCTCTGTCAGCCATTTGCTTTGCTTTTCTGTCTTTGCATTTTTATCCAGAGAAGATGAAGAGGTACATGTAAAAGCTGACAAGGGTACCCCCACTCAGATAGTGAGTCCTTAGACTCCAAAGGTGCAAATGACAAACTGATAGATGACCAGAAGGAAGGATGTGGCAGAAGGACACCTTCTAGACACAGAGCTCACTGACAGTGTTGTACTTATTCAATACAAACTCTCAAACAATTCCTGGGCTCCTCTCACGTGTCAGGTGGTAAGGATGTCACCGGGATGAAAGAGTCGGCCAAGAGGTGACATTATCAGCTGAAGAATGCCAGAAAAAGAATCAAGTAGACGCCATGTGACATGAAATAACAAAGGCATGTGTAGAGCACAAAGTTCACCAAGGAATCTTATCCAGTCCACATGAGTGAAATCAACTTGGCTTTAAATCCTGGGTCTACTCTTCACTAGTTGTGTGACTTTCGACAGATTTCTTCCCTGTCTGAATCTTAGTTTCCATATTTGATGTGGGGATAATAAGCCTCATAGAGTTATTGTGAAGAGTGAAAGATATAACAAATATCAATACTTTTTGACTGCATATAATCAGCATATATATATACCACATGCATGTATATACACATATATATACATACACATATACATACATGCATACACACATATCCATATCCATAAATATCAGACACCATGCTACCACCACACTGCTAACAATACCAATACCAATCATAATGATGGTGACAATCATAAGAGATCATGATGCCAGTTGGCATTTACAATTGTTGTTTGCGTCCTGAACA